CTCCTACCTCGCCTAATGGTTAAATTCAGAATCTGAATCAGTTCAGAAAAAAACCTGAAACTGAAGAAACAGCTTCTTGATTCTTAATGTCTCAGCACCACCATTTTCAGATGTGAATGGTGCCTGAAAGAGAAGTTACTGCATTTCAAGTCCCCTCAGTTCCCAGCAACTGTTCTTGTTTCATACTGGCAAGGATGGTTCTGTGTGATTATGGTTTCTGGGTGTTTATTACTCTTAAAAATAATCTCGAACAGGACTTAATGGTAGCCTCAAACAGTGTGTCTGTAAGTATCCTTGTTGCAAGTTTCCTCCTAAATAAAAATGCTACTTTTTTAACAGACTGCTCCTGCCTTTCTCCCAGGAAAAAATCTTTAATCGCGTTAATGCAGAGCCAGGAACGCTGCATGACGTAGCACTTAGTTTTGTTCATTTCGTTAATGGTTAACTGTGTTAACAATTAGTTACTTAACTTTTTTGAGTTTCTGCCTTGATGGGGACCAGTTTATTTCAGTTGCGTGGTAGCTAAAATAATGATCTGTATTAGGCAGTCTCTCTTAAGGTGCAGAGGAGCAGAACACTTAGGTTATATTTCAGACCCCAAGCAGACCTTGCATAACTGGCAGCAGGGGAGATTGTGAAGTTTCTTGGAGTAAACAGCTAAGATTTTATATGTAGGTCTTTTAAAGAATGTAGTCTCTGAAAGCACTAGTGAAAACTGAATATTGTAATTACATGACCCTGGACAAAATGCATTTACCTCACACGGTTTGCTACTGTGAAATTAATGGTGAACTTTTCCTTCCTCTGCTTTGTCCAAGGGAGGTTGAAGACCAGATGCAGAAACCTGGGCTGATGATCTGGTGAAAATATCCATGCATCTTTTTTGCCTTTTTAATGAAGCTGTGTCATGTAGTTTTTATATTCATTCAAAGTGAAAAAGAAAGTGCTTTCGCATTGACTGTTAGATTAAGAGGAAGAAGTTGGTTTAGATTGCAGTCTCTGGAGCATGACCTGTTGCTGTAGTGAGAGATTTAAATAGCTCCTAATTGCCACACTTTGGTGTACAGGGTAACAGAGTTCAAGGCCGATAGCTCTTTGTAGCTGCTATGAAGAAACTTTGCCTCCAGAGCTCATATGTGGAAACTGAGTTACTTTTTGTATGATGGAGGTTCCGTACTTGGTTTCAGTTCACAGACTATTTTACTACTCATTTTTTATTCGTGTTACACTGTGAAAGGAACATGTTTGCGAGCATTTTGGTGTATCACTTCCGAGAGAACGCTCAAATAATTTTCCCTTGCCTGTAGTAGAATGCTGCTCTTCTCTTTAAATGTGTGCACTGAGCAAACCACCTGCATGTTCTGTGCTGCAGTGAGCTCCCATGCAAGGCATGAGACCCATTCACAACTATTTTCTCTCACAAACAGGTGTTACCAGTCAAAATGATACCTTAGAAAACTAAAAACTCTTCTCCTCCAGTCCCCATAATAACTCACTGTGACAGCATATTCAATGCTGAGAATTATTATTTGATTATTTTTCTATTTGTATGCTTAGTACGTGTGGAGGTGTGCATGTTGTGGGCGTGTTATTACTCCTCACTGACATGTGTGTGCTATTGATGGAACATTAATTTGCTAGGACAGGAGATAAATGCAATGCTTTGCAATGCCATGCCAAAATTGGAGAAAGCGATGGAATTAAAAGTTGTCCCAGAGAGTTGGGACAATTAAAAATTTCCTTTCATGTAGGCCTAGTCACATAGACTTATGTTAAGACAGTAGATGAGTGCAGAAGTTCTGCAAGTTCCAATTTTCCTTCCTTAAATTTAAAGTAATTTGTATCTAGATATACCTGAAGCTAGGCATTAATCAGCACGTATTTAACTATAGTAAAGATGCTGTGCTGTTTCTGCAAGTTTTAAAGGCACATATGAGAAAAAGAGGAGGTGTAAACTTTGGTTATGTCAAGTAGTTGATTCAACTGTAAGTTTCTTAGTAGTGGTTGTATTTAGAAGTAAAGGTTTAAGAACGTTCATTTTTAACTGAGCAAGGAAAATCTGTGTAAAGACTCTTTCTTTTTGATAAATTTCATTAACATTTTAATGAGAAGTTGCCTTTAGATGTAGTATAGCATAAATATAATTGGTGAAAGCAAATTAGGTGAGCATTTGCAGCACATTTTTTTAAAACACATTTGGTCCAACTGAAAGATTCAAATATGCTTAATAAACTGCACATTTATTCTGCGTAGTCACTTGTAAACTGAACCTGTGTTCTGAATCTGCCGTTACTATAGATATCATAGGGTCACTAAGGTTTAATTTGGTCTATTATATTTGAACAGTATGCTTTCAGCACAAACTGTGCTTTGGCTGTTTTTCATTTGTTCTGCTTTTGTTCAGGTAGGGGGAATGTGTCTCTCCCCAGGCCATTCTGCTGCTCCCTTCCTACATATATTTAACAATTTGAGTCTACACCATTATGTTTGTTAAATACAGTTTTATGTTAAATAGAGTTTTATGGAGATTGAAATGCAGGAGTGTGTTAAGAGATAGTAAAGAGATGTAATAAAGGGGATTTGGGGAACTAACAAAATAGAGATTAAACAGTATTAAGGGCGAGTTTAGGGATCTTGTATGTGAATTGGAGTCTGGGTCAGTATATGTAATCTCCTTGAATAGGATTCTGTGCCAGGTCCGGACTACAAATTGTGTGTTGTGGTCAGTCAGGTAGGAAAAAAAAAAGATTGAGAAATTAGAGGGAAGCGAGATGCAAATAAGAAAAGCCTAACACTTTCCTGAAAAACAAATTATTACTTGGAACAGTGATGAGCATTTTATGTCACCTCTTCATACCCTTTTCCTATGTTCTGATATATGTAGCTAAAAACCAAACCAGAAAACCACAACCAAACAGAAAAACCCCAGCCTTTCTGGGACTGTGCCAAAGGCATCTGCTATTGCAGTTTCTCTTCGTAGCAATTTGTGAGGTATAAGTGAAGGCATATTTGCTTCGAAAGCAATATTCAGGTGAATAAGGTTAATGATAAGGTTTGTCATTCTAGGTTTCAAAAAAAAAAAAAAAAAGGATAAAATGAAGTTGTACTTTTCGGAGTGCATCTGGAAGTGACCTTGGCCTGGGAACGTGGGGCCCAAGTTCTCTCTGACAGAAGGATACATAATTCTCATCTGATTCTTAAAATTACTCCTGTGTGGTTTCTAACTGAATAAGTATATAGGAATTTCATTTTTAGATACAGCATATCCTTGGTGATCTTGCTACTCTGGAGGGTTTTTTGAAAATAAAATTTAGCAAAGTGAGAGAATTAGATATTTTTGGCTTGTTCTACTCATGTAAGCATAGTTGAGAGCCAAGAAACAGTAGCATTCTTGTACACTGGTTTCCTCTCAGACTTGCTTTGTATTGCCTTTCAGGTCAAGCAAGCCACACGTTTTTGGCATTTAATAGCAGTTAGGCGGTTTTCCTGCCAGCCTTCTATATGTTAATTTTATTTTATTTTTTTCATATAAAATTGGGGGCAAGGTGTGTTAGGTAGGCATCACGTTGCTAAATCTCTAGCAAAATGTAAAAACTGTTGTAGCTTTGCAACCCTCAGGTATGCTCTATCCCTCCTAGAAGGTGTCACACTTCCATTGTAACTGGTTATGTTTATGATGCATTCTAAAAATAAAAAACTAGGTGTTTTCTCAACTCCTGATTTTAGTAAACCTGGTTGCCTCTGTAGCACTGCACAGTGGTGCAGCCATCCCTTCCCTGTGGCTCCTCACCCTTTCACCTGGGCTGTGGGTGCAGCGTCTGTGGTGTTCTCCTCCTGGCCTTGCACCTGCACGTGGTGTCCTTAAAGCAGGCTCTCTCAGGAATAATGGCCTGCAGCCTTGGGAACCTCTTTCCTTTTTTCTTTTTTCCTTTGGGTGTAGCTTTTGGTCTGTGGCAGGGGATCCAATAACGTGTGTGCACAGAGGTTAATGACTGGCAAGTTCTGACTCAGCAGCTGCTGTGATCAATGTGCGCTTTGAGCGCCGCCGGAGGCATTGTAAGAAAGAGTTGTCAGGGTTCAAGCAGCACCTGGTGAAAACTATGTCGTTACTACAAGGAAAAGTATTGTGGAGGAGCCACTTGTTACAGTGGAAAGGAGTCCCTGGAAGGGCAGTCATCTGGGGACTCTCAGCATCTCTCTTTCTGGTAGGCTGCAAGGGAGAGGCTTCAATTTTTTTCTCCTTCCTTTTTTTTTTTTACTTCTTCCCTCCAAACAACTTTCACCATTGGAGTTATTGTATTACTTACCATACCCACTAATAAATCTTTGCACATGTGAGCCTGTCCCGGTATCCTTTGTGCAACTACTTTTTTCTCTTGAAGACTTGTGGATTTGCAGCATATAAGCCCTTTTTCTTTTTTCTTATTTGCCGGTTTATTCATTAAATAATTCAGGTGAGTTTACAGCCAAGATGCATGAAATTCCATTATATACATGGCTTATTTTATAAATGAAGGCCAAAGGGATAGTTATGACCATGTAGTCCTCTAGTATGCTGTTTTTAGTAACAGTTCAGGCTGCTGTGTTGCAAGAAGGACTTGGATTAAGTTTAGTAGCAGTGTGCCAACAGCTGATTCTTTGTTTTGTGTTTTTATTTTTTTTCTGTGGTGTGCTTTTTTTAGATTGACAATGTACTTCTAGTTTTACTTAAGACTTGAGTATGTTTTAGTCCATTCTGGAGTTGAATAGCGTCAAGGTGAAAACTTTAATGACAGTGCAGTTTGTTTTCCTGAATTATGTCTTCTTGAATATATTATATAGTATTGAACAGCTACATAATAAGTGTAATTAGGATGTTAAACATGCACATATTGCCAAAATATGAACCAAATACTGAAAGTCTCAAAATCACAAAGATTTTTACTCTTAGTTCCCTCTTTCTATTGTAAAATTGTCTGGTTTGGCTCAGAAAATAAGTGTTTCTTTACAATTCCTTGCAGATTCCTACTTCAATGTCTTGAGGATCTTGATGCTAATCTACGAAAACTGAATTCACGTTTGTTTGTTATTCGTGGACAGCCAGCAGATGTTTTCCCCAGGCTTTTTAAGGTAAATGCCACCCTGCGGTTGTTGTTTCTATACATATACATTCTATTCATATATAGTCTGACAAACTGATTTCACCTAGGAATATTTCTTGTACTATATACTTCATTGCAACTTTTTGTCCATGAAAATACTTAACTATCCTTGCAGTTTCTTTAAGGTTGTTTTTGTTAGATTTGGGACTTTCCCCTCTAATGTGTATATCAACAACTGATCTTAGTTGCTCTTAGGCTTTACAGTTTTTGATTTCTTTCCAGAAATTGAACTGATTTCTAATGGCTTGCTAAGTGTAGGTACTGGACATTACTAAATTTTCCTTTCCAGGTTCCCTTTGAAATACTGCAATATTATTCTACACACATAAATCCAGATTCAAAGCCTGACTTGAAAAGCAATGTTTTATTTAGGCCAAATATCTGCTGTGGTTGCTTTTTGGCCATTAAAAGTGATTTAATAAAGTTTTTGCTGGTAGTAGGCTTCATAAAACCACAGTGCAGGTAAGAGAAATTGCTAGACGAAGAATTTTAAGGCTTTTGTGGGTAAGAGTCTTGTTACTCAGCAAATTAAAGTTGTGATGGATTGCTACTGATAGTAATTTGTCTTCCATGGATAATAGTAATACTAAGCTCGGTCGGTTAGAGCGTGGTGCTGCTAACACCAAGGTCGCAGGTTCAATTCCCATTTGGTCCCCATGTGTTGCCTGATCTAGTTGAGAGGTGTTCCTGCCCATGGCAGGGAGGTTGGATTAAATGATCTCTAAGGTCCCTTCCAGCCTAGGCTGTTCTATGATTCTATAATAGAATAGTAGAAATGAACTCTTTGTGAATTGATTTCAAAAAATTGTATGGAATAGCTGGACTGAGGTGACTGAGATGAGTAAGACTGGAGGTGGGGGGTGGAAATAAACTGTTCTTGCAAAAAGATCATCTATTCAACATTTTTATTCCTAAATCTTCAACTCCAAGCTGAAAACTCAACTACAACCTGCATTTCCATCTTCATTCTTGTGCTTGAGCTGCAAAATGGTAGATGAGTGATACTCTGACTGGTTTTTTAATTATTTCCCCTCAGTGAAGAATTTTCTGCAGGAGCACTGTGGCATTAGTTGCCGGCTGTAATGACCCCAGATATTTAAACTCGTTCTATCTGCCCATCAAATTTGGTTTAATTGCATCTAAATGGGGGCAAAGATCTTGTTGTGCGTGTTGCCTTCTGGATTTGAGTGACCTGTGACATGTTTCCTTAAATAATTTAATGGCTGCATTGACAACTTCTGTTTCTGATCTTGCTACTAGGCTGATCTTTCTATGCCTTACAGCATCGAAGTGCTACATTTTCAGAATTCTTATTTTAGTGCTGAGACGGTAATGAAAATAACGTCATATAGATAATGTACATCAATCAAAAAAGAACATTGACAACTGTCTATGTCTTCTGGTTCCTCAAAGTTCCAAAAAGTATCATGTATTTGTTCAATGAGGGGGCTTTTCAGAATATCGTCTATCCTTGAACAAATAAGAGTCATTGTTAAAGCCCTTGAGGACTTCTTCAACTTGTGGCTGAAGACTACATGGAACCCATATATAATTAACTTCACAGCCTCTTTTGCCAGAGCAGTGGCTGTGCATCAGGCACTTGCAGTGCAGTGAAGGCTATGTAACACTGAAACAAGCTTTTCAGGTTTTTTTCATTAAATGTCTCAAAGGTGAGCAATGATCCTGACCCTGAAAAACACATGTAGATATTTTTTATCTGGGAGAAGATAACTGTAAGTAAATAATGGTAGGAGATAGTGGAACTTCTGTTAAGCCTTGTATCAGGAGCTCTATCATGAATGCCAGCATCTGGGGATGAATGTTTTGCAGCTGTTTCTTTGTAGGGTGCTTTTTTTCACGGGTTGGAGGACAACTTCTTCAAAAGGCAGAGCACTGATCTACCTTTCTCCTTGCAAAAGACCTTGAGGACCTTTAGGCTCTTTCATATATGTATTCATATAATACACATAAGGACACACAGACATTTATGTATTTTTATGTATTTATACACTCATAAACAAACAAATAAATATATATCTATATTTATTTATGACTGCTTGCTTTCTTCTGTCCAGTCCTTCAGAGCAGCTTTCCTTCACTTAAGACACTAAATTTGTCATGTTTTTTCAGCAGTACTAGCTAACAGTGCTGCTGATAGCAGCAGTACACTGGTACCTTCTGGAGCAGTGTGTAGAGACAATATTTTTACAAGCAGTCTTTGCAGGTATTTGCAAAATTCTTTTAGTCTTTTTTGTTTGGTTTGAGTTTTTTAAGTAACTTCAGGATGGTTGTTCCATCTGACTGCAGAGATGGAACTTGCACTAGTAGCAGGCACCCACTTGGTGTCTGTTGGTTAACTTGAACCACTGAGGTTTCGGTTGGGTTTTGCCTCATTGTCTTCCATTTGTCCTTGTCTGCTCTGTATCTCTAGCTCTTTGGAACTGGTTTGATGAAGAAAATAGAATTGGAACTAAGTCTTTAAATGCATCAGTGTTGCTGAAAGCATCCAGCAGTACAAGCAAAGTGATTTTTGTCCATGCCGCTTCTAAGCGCCTGGCTCATGCTGATGGAATGTGGGTGTATTCACGTCACTTAGCGCTTGTCCCAGAGTTCCTTGGCTCCCTTGGGCATGTGGCTCTGACTCCTGGACATGTGTGTTATGGTTTTCTTTTCAATATGCCAGAGGAAAGACAGATTTAGAAAAATACCTGCTGCAACTTGTCAGACAGTGGTCATGAAATGGGAAATAAATGTTGGATGAAGGTGTAGGAGGTTGCTTGAGGATTCAGGGCTTGCTAGGTCAGTCTTGGCAGACTTAATGGTGGAAGGAGCCAAGCCTTCTTTCAAGGAGCAAGCATTCCTTGGAATCACTGATCCTCAGGGTTCTGCCTGGGCTTCATCTAGGAGACAGCTAGAGTCCAGAAGTAAAACAGCACCCTAGGTGAACAGCGTAGAGTGCCACTTGCCTCTCTGGTGTGAATCCTTTTCTCGGAAATAGTCTGGCCTGGTGTATTTAAATCAACTGATTAAGATTCTGAGGGATTAGTAGAGGTGTTACTCTGAGTTTCACTGGCAGGATGACTTTCTAGGATCGTTCTGTGCATATTTCACCTTTTCAGTTTCCTGCTGTTGCTGAAGCCTTAGCCATTAGCTGATCCCTTTCTTCACTGCTTTTCCCCCAACTGTTGCTGTTTGCCTTGGTAACAGCATCTGTGACATAAAGGATATTAGACTTAAAGGCATCCTCTTTTTAGGAGACAGATTTTTTTATTTTTATTTTTTTTTAAATTGGGAATTTGAAGATTGTCACTTCTGGTGGTTAAGGGGCAGGAATTTGGAAGAGGGAAGGAAAGGGTGTCATATTTGGTTTGAGGAGGGTAGGGGGTGTGGTATCCCCTCCAAACTTCAGTTCTGCTGTTAAAGTTGACAAGCATGTGGGAAAAGCTTTTCTGCAGAACGAGATGCTGCTGCTGATCTATGTGCGGAAGGCGGCCTCTGTCATTCCCTTCTGTGGTGTTATTTAAGGTGTATGGATCCTAAACTTAGAGCTGAGTTTTCAAAATTTGCACACAGTAATGGGACAGATTTTTTTTTTTTTTTTAATGCCTCATTTATACTTAGATACCAAGATGTTGGACTTCATTTTTATGAGTCTTGGTGCCTAAATGTATTATGGGCCTTTATGTATCTCTGACAACCATCAGCAGGTAATAGCTGCTGTTCTGTCTTGTCCCTGTCCTTCCCATTCTCCTTTGCCTCAACCCTCATCGAGCAGCTAAGTTGCTGAAGTACCACATTTTTGTTTTATGTTGCAGGAGTGGAATATTGCAAAACTTTCTATTGAATATGATTCTGAGCCATTTGGGAAGGAAAGAGATGCAGCAATTAAGAAGCTGGCTAGTGAAGCTGGAGTGGAAGTCATTGTTCGCATTTCCCATACCTTATATGACCTAGACAAGTAAGTTACCATCGCCTCTGATAGGAATTTTATGTAGCATTTGGTTAGATATCATGTGACACTTTCTACACGGAGCATTTTATGGTTAGGAAGACTGCAAATTTTTTATGTTTCTCTTTTATCCATTCATCCAAATTTTATTACGTGCTGAGTAGAACTTTGCAGCTCTAAAAAATGGCACCTAACTATCTGAAATATGGTTTTGATTTGGGATTCTTTGAAATCAGTGGCCATGTTAATTATGTCTTTTGTAATGAAGTTACTCAAATATGCATGCAACTTCTCCCAAATAAGATCTGTTGTTTTGTTAGATTGTTTTGTCACTATTTCATTTGCTGTGCACAAGTTAGCAGAAAGGCCTTTTTTTTTTCACAAGAACTGTTTCCTATCAGTTATGCATCCAATATGTAACTGGGGATTTGATATTCCTGTATTGCTTTACCTAATGTCTTGTTTATATTTTTCCACACATCTATTTAAACGGATTAGTATTAGCTTCCTATTATAGAAACATAATCTGCAAACTGTTCAAAATTATGACTTGGTGTCTCTTAAAACAAGCATCTACCACAATAAATTACTCATTATTATTCTGTTACAAGCCAATGTATGAGAGGCAGCAAGTCATATGGGAGGAAAGGGAAAGGGAGTTATCTATTATTTTGAAACCAATACCTGCTATCTTTTTTTAATCCTAAATTGAAAAATCCTTTTCTTTTCCCACCCAAGCACCCCACCAAAATGAGCGGTTGGTTCTGTCTGCCACTTTGTAAATGATATCTTTGAAGCTTTCCTGTTTCTGAGATTTTAGATATATTTAAGGTGATGATGGGAAACATGGAAACTGTTTGTACAACAGTCATTGTGCATAAATTGCACCTTATTTTTTCCCCATATTAGGACAGTTTTAATATTGACTACTGTTTTCAATACCAGAATAGAAAAATAGATTATTTCTCTTTTTTGTTTGTTTGTGTTTGTTTTTTTAATGCAAGTAGCATAATGTTGTAGGTGACTTGGATGTGTATTTACGTAGCTGTGGTCTCATCTGCTTTGCTGATCTGTGTTCTTCTTTGCCTTGAGCTGTCTATATTCATTACTTGTTCTTAAGGGACTTTTCTCAATCCAGGAGTGAAGAGTAATTTACTTGATTATAAACAGTTAATTTATATGTCTCCCTAGTGGGGCAAAATGGATGGTAAAATTAAAGTTCAGACTGTGTGTTTTACCATGTATATCTGATTTTATGTAACACGCTAGAGGCAGGTAAGAAGATATTTCTGTTTGTGTATACTTTATTGAAGAAAATGTTATGCTATGGTCTGACATCCTTTTTTTTTTTTTTAATTCAGAATAATAGAATTAAATGGAGGACAGCCTCCTCTTACTTACAAACGATTCCAGACCCTAATTAGCAGAATGGAGCCACTGGAGATGCCAGTGGAGACTATAACTCCAGAAGTAATGGAAAAATGTACTACTCCAGTTTCAGACGACCATGATGAGAAATACGGTGTCCCATCACTTGAAGAGCTGGGTATGTTCTCAGATTTCTTTGACATTGTGAAACAAGTTAAATGTAACGTATCACTGAAAATGTAATAGTTAAAATAACTACGAGAGAGGTTCTGCTTATAGTTAATTGTTAAACTGATGCCAATTACAACATACAAAAGGAACAAATAAGGATAATCAGGTCCATAAATTTGTATTTGTTTTCTTTTAAATAGGAGGATGGATAGATCAAACTACACAATTGATACTGTTTGGCTTCTTGTAATACAGCACAGCCATTTTCCATGGTGCCAATTAATCATTAAGCTACTAATAGTCTTTGATACTTCATTTTGTATTACATGCATTTGGTATCTTTGTGCTTCAGGTCATCTTTCTGTCATTTTACAGATGAATTAAAAAAACCCTCTAGTCTTACAATACCAACAAAAAAAGTATAATAAGGCAAATAATTACTTTAGAATCACAGAACCACAGAATGCAGAGTTGGAAGGGACCTTGAAAGATCATCT